ATTCGAGTGGGAGCAAATCCATAAGGCACTGTCGTTTTATCCAACAGGTGCTTTTCTCCATCCCTCTTCTTATCGTCTTTGAAACATCTTTGTAGAGCCCCGGGTATGAATCCACTCACCGCTTTACACATTACACTGATGTAAGTCACTGAGCTAAAATTAGTATCTGTCTTTCTGTGGATGACAAAGTTTAGAGAGTAAGAAAGATCAACTTTGTTTTTTGAACACACTATCCCTAACGTTTCACCGTGATAAACCATTGCATTCAGTTCACGAGTACCCATATTGTTGCCTACAATCAACGACAAAAGTTGCCACTGTATTCCTTCCGCTTTTGTTCTTGAGCTTCGTGTTTAGGTACTACTGAAGGTAAGCTGCGGATAAACTGTTTGCAGAGAACTGTAAAACTGCCAATGAATTGTTCACAAGAGTCAAAGGAACAGCTTTTTTGGGGTGGCCTGTAGGAATGTAAAGGGTGCTTCGCCCAGTCCCTGAAATTTTTCATGTTGCGTCCGAAGATCAAACGCGCAGCTTGATAATAAAATTAGCATTCTCAAAAACTAAACCAGCATTTTGTTGGCTGCTTCTTTCAGTTTCGTTGACGCGGGAACGTACGTGCCTCTGATTACGGAATTCAGAATAAGTTATACTGACTTGAGTGGATTAGGGTTGGATGTTGAACATGGGAGAGGTCGAGGCACGAAATAGAAACGAAAGAAACTTGGAGAGCAATTTTCATGAACCTGTTCTATATGCTTGCGGCGACTCGTATCTAACGGTGAAACAGTAAGTTGTTGTGCAGTTACCTGAAACAAAATGGATGGTGAACGTCAAGTTGAGACACATCTCGCCGGCTGATATTGGTCATCCGGAAAATGAGATCCAAAACTAAAAATGCTCCCATTTTCCAGAATCCGGTGCCAATTCCGATGCTGCTGGGGGGCGTAGGAGATGCCACCACTTTCTTGCAACTAATTGGCCTTGGCAAATTGAACCTATTATCATCCTGAACCACTGAATTTGTAGTCCTCGATATATACTAGTTTTCCCGTATTCGGAAATGTGCAGGGCACTGTACCATGAACTGAAAGTAGAACTGCCAGAAACCAATTCATAATAGTTTGCAAGTTGCAGGCAACACCTTTCCTTCTGTAGTGTTAGCTGCACGGCCTCAGCCAGACATCATCGAGGTGCTTTCGCCAGGGTATCAACATTGTACAGGTGTTTAAGGGATGAAAATGGAAGTCATGTCAGGAAACCGCTTATAAGGCCGAGTGATGTATCCGCCATATCTGATCTCAAAACGCCTCCTACAGAATGTCTCCCGCAAGCCCAAAATAAATGTGTTGTTATGGGGATGGAAAGATTTGAAAACCTACTTATCCCATCCAATTTTTCCAGTAGTCAGGTCTGGGTGATCATTTGTGCACATGTAAATGTCCTCCCGGATTTCAAACATGCAACAGACGCACTCAGACGCCAACAACACCCTTTCGCAGAACACTTGCTTGCTCAGACCTCCGAGGTTGAATGACAACTTTCCGGCTTGATTAAGAAGTCTTCCTCCTTGTATTTAACAGCCTCTGTATCAAACCGCTTAGGGAAGACCAAAGAAGACGACGGTGAGTGACTTTCGCGAGCAGCGGATGTAAAAGTCAACTGCGCACCGAAAGATCTAAAAGCCTTTTCAGACATCTGAGCAGAGCTGGATTTACTGGGAAGGTTACCAAGCTTTATCAACTTTTCACCACTGGTCATCACCTTTACGTGCAGCATAAATACACCGGCCAGCAAGCATGATGCATATTTATGACGTAGCTGCACAAATCGATGTGTTCGGCTGGCCATGCAATAACCGATTCTGCAACATTAGATCCACTTCTTTGCGGATTACGAAATAAACGGGTGAAAGTTCCGTTAAACAGCAAGACATTCTAAACAGAAACATATCTATTCTTAAGGGAAGCTGAATGATGAGCAAATAAGATGTATTGTGAATCACACAAACCTGCGGGAAGAATACCTCGGGAAATATCTCAAAAGTGCTAGGTAGCATCTTTTCCAAGCATTCAGCCAACGATTAGGAAACTCAAGGCCACACATCCCTCTCGGGTCGGGCGTACTTTAATACGGCAAGCTGCTGTCACGTTTTGAAAGTAGACAACCTATTTCGAAATTCATCTTATTCACCGGGTTGTTCTAGGGCTCCGTGTCTGTAAGCTTTCGGCGGCTCGCGCAATGTAGAAGCTTTTAGCAGTCGAATATTAAAAATAACTCCGCCGGGATCTTGAAAGCACTAGGGTCTCCCAAACGTTGCTGGAATATTGTCAACGGACAGGAAGTCTAGCGACCAGCAGGTAAGTAAAGTAGCCCCTACTGCAGTCCAAATGACTTTAATGTTGTTTATTGTTCACGATGAAGCTTCTTTTTTGTCCTTCAAATGTAATGCCCGACACTGCCTGCTAGGGAAAAGCAGAATGGAATGACTAAAAGGTAATAAGAATGAAAAAGGTAGCTATCCCAATAGGCCACGAAAAATACAGACTCATTTACCGAAAAAGAAAAGGGAGGAAAAGAAAGTGTCTACAAATCTATGGTAGGCTCGCAATTTTAAGCCAAAACCACCCTAACACCTCTTAAGAAAACAGCCTTGTAGATGAGTGCAAGCCGACCTCACCAAGGGAGCAGCCGACGTGGGAGTAAACATTTTCAAACCAATAATCAACGGTAACTTAAGCAATTGACTAGCCACCGACAAAGGCTGAACCGGTGGCCTGATCCGAAAATCTTCCCACTTAATGAAAGAAGCACGTGCGATTGTGCTTTTGGAAAAACGCATGACGGCTGCTTGAAGTCTGAAGAAATAGAAAGATGAACAAGAATTGATACGAAGGGTTGGCAGCCTGAAAAAACTGACAAGCGGCCACCTTGGTCAGCGTTGCAGCCTAATATTCCACCCCTTCTGAGGCATAAAAGATAGTCTGAACCATAATGCAGGTGTTGTGGTTGGTCCTCGCGAGACTATGGGCAACCTAAAACGATACGGGGACCTGGTTACTCAACCTTCAGGTATCCATTTTGCATGTTGTGTCCAAGTGGATATATAACTCGCCAGCTTTTATATGGACCCTTTCTCTTCAGACCTCGCCACTTGGGTTCGGTAGACCATCTTAATCCCTGAGCCTCAACTATCCTTATCCGCTACCTAAACACCAGTTGGCATAATCCCAGTTGTGGTCAGGAGACATCTGAACACTAGCTGAAAACCCCACTAACAACTTTTTCTGAAAGTAACAAAAGTTTTATTTATACAGGTATTTGGCTTGACACAGAGCTATAAGGAAGGCCACAGCAAGAATGAAATGGAAATGACTTCAGAGGCTGAGATTATCTGGGAGTTTTGAAGCTGTGATTGGCTGCGGACGAGGTTTTATGTTTAGTGCTGTCAGTAGAAATAGATCGAAGCATCTAATAAGGCTTCCACGAAAAGCTGCCCAAGCTGTGACCAAGAAAAAACTGTAGCCAAGAAAGCACCGCATTTCAAAACATTTTCAATGCAGAAAAAATTTGATGAAGCTATTAGTGCAAGGAAAACTTGTTAAAATTATCTTCGGCAAAACAACAATTTGTTTACGAAAGCCAACTTGTGAGAATTTAGTTTTGCCCTTATATCGGTATAACCAGACGAACTGGAAGTCCAGAATTCAGCGAAGCGTAACAACCAGCACGTATGTATTCGAATTGGCGAATATGTACAGTATATGGGATATTGAAACAAGAGAATAATGAATAGAGCAACGAATAGAGTATCAGTCATGTTCATCACATCCGCCACACCTTGAATGAGCGTGTGGATGTTTATAGTGCAGTGGTGGTCTTGACCACAATCTTTCGGATCTTCTCGGAATGGAAACTTCAGACTCTTCACAGGTTGTGTGTTCTTCAGATGGGTTATGTTCAGATACCATAAGATCATCTACAAAGGACTCATTAGTATTTGAAACAGCAGGATTGCCGTTAACAGACTGACCTCTGGTAATGAACTCAACCTGGTCAATGTATCTCCGGTGGCAATCCACACAACTGCAGGACGCAAAGTCTGTTGACCGGGGCCATTCTTCTGGCAGAATAGACCCTCTGAAACGAAGATTCCACAGTAGTCTTATTTTTTCCGAACCACGTGGAATTATATTTTTTGTGGCAGAACCATGCAATTACGTTGCATAAATTCAACCTGCATACTCACATGATTCAGTGAAATGACAGACGTGGAAAACCATGGAATTTCTCAGGCGCTAAATGGCCTGAGTTGTTTAACTGAAGCAGGAGACGTGACAAGTCCAACTTCATGACCAAGCGCGAATGTCAATATTGCTCGTCGGCTTAATTTTTCCAGGGGGTCAATTGCTTTGAACGCAAGCAAGTTACTGATTGGTAGAAATTCATCAACGGAATTCCGACCGCCGTTCCAGAAAAATGGCTCCCCAATACTGATTTTCGTTAAATGGAGATGGTGAAGCTGATAATCTTTTGTGATAATTTCGGCGAATTCGGATATGCTACTTTCACGGTGTGGATTTGTTTGCGATACACCACACAATTTCACCGAACGCATTCTCGATGGCCGGTACTGTTCATTTGACATGGTTTAGCTCCATACGTAGTTCCAGGTCAGGGCTGTACCATAGTGGGAAGCTAAAATTCACTTGGTAGTGTTCATTTTCTCTCAAACACAGTCGTCCGAATGGTGGGAGATCTCCCTCTAATGTCGACATTTGCATGAGGCTGAAGAAACTGCCCATATCGAGAACGACGAAATCCAAGCTCAATACACTTCATCAACTCCACTAAATATAGACTCTACATTAGAGACTGAACAATAGTTTTAGCCCGAAGGTGGAGTTTAATCATTCGCCTTCTCTCAGATGTCCGGTCCAAGGTCACGAGCAACGTAGGGAATCTACCAATCAGAATGCTGCAGTCTTCGCAGACCTCTTGTTCACACGCCTACGTCTATTGTTAGGCTTCACCACTCACCGCTCTCTCGGTTTCTCATGGTTGCGTCTGTAAGTCCCGTATATTTCTCTCGGTGGTTATGAAACGGGGAGGACATTAGTGTTGTTTGTCAGTGTGTCTGCTATGGTCATTGAGCACTTTTCCAAGCTGAAACGAAGGCATACACAGACAAGATCACATTGGAAACGAAAATTTGGAGATCGGCGACCAGCTGAGTGAACGAATGAGTTCACGGCTTGCTACACTGTACTATTTGTACCCATCGTGAGAGGAGACCTGAGCAAGATGATTATGCTTGGTTAAGAATGTATTCTAGCATGAAGTAGTACCGGAACCAACTGGTGGACACGAATAGAGACAATGAGAATTCCTTCATGATAACGCATTTCGTTTTCCGCACCGTCACGCTCACGGGCGCGTGAGCTGGCCATCTCAGCAACCAGGTTTTCTTCAGAACGATGATATGCAACATTCCAATGTTAAGGCGTTTGTGCCTATTCCAAGAAATAGTAGAATCAAACATAGTGCGCAATATTTCTCTCTCAGTTGGAATACATATAAAATTTGACCTTGGTACCATGTCGCTACCGCGAGGAGACCAAAGCTTTCTGCGATGTGCCACTCCAAATAAATCAGCAGCACTTTGAACCTTACCGGAGGATATCCGTACGCATCCTGAGGTTGGCCAGATGATAGAGATACGAAGACAGGCTTCCGGTTATCCAAGTTCATGACTGTGATATGTGAAGTTACTTACTCCGTGATGAACTTGTTTTTATGTCGACCACGCTGTTTTCTGGATAGGCTTTCAAACCAAAACTTTTGGATGGGCATACTGATTATTCTTCCGTCTGGAATTGTGTGTCCTGGCGTATGACATGTATTACAGAATTATGAAGAACACAAATTCATTTTCATGCTACATTGGTCAGTGCTTTGTGAAACCCGCTTGTTCCCTGTAAGCACGCCATTCAGAGACTCAAGCGGATGGCCGCTTGTGCTACCAGTCGCATCTACCGTGTCGTTTATTCGAACTTCATTCTCTTGTCTTTATCGCAGCCTTGGGCCAACCTGCCTCTGTACGCACTGTAGGTGCTCCAGTGACAGCGGTACTTTTGAAAACCGAATACAGATCTTTGTACAATGATTTAGTCTATGACACTTGCAGTGTAGACACTGCTGATTATGAATTGCAAGCAACCCCGCAGCTGCTGCCACAGGTGACGCCACGGTTGGCATAACATTTGTGAGGTGCATTTAGGTTTACTATGTGATACTTCAGGATCGGTCCTTTCGGTGGAAGTTATTCATAACGGGGAAAAGCTAACTGCAGCTATAATCGACGCCGGAAATTCTGCCTGCCGTGCTGTCGGACGTGGAAAGGGTTACTCCGACCCAAAGACATCAGGCGTTTGCTTGTTATAACTCGACTACTTCTTCCTCTAATACGTAGGCGCGCAAATTCGGGTACTTCCAGTAAGGTTACGATCGGGTATACAGTGCATTGATCAAGTTTGTATATTGCGTACCGCTAACAAATGGTCGCCCTTTTCAACATCCGGGGGCCCTCGATTCTGTAGATGGAACACCTCTTTCAAACAACAGCACAAAGTAGATTTCTTGGAATCTGTAAACACATTCCGGGCCCTCTATTGCGGCGCTTGTAGTCGCGCAGGATTTCAAGATGGATATATAGAACTTTTTTCATCAGCATTGATAGCAGTATACCGCTAATACATACTAGCACTCGCCTGCCATAAAACCATGAGGAAAAGTGGAAAGCAAAGGGACAAGTAAGTGCTTGGTGCGAAGAAGCCCTATATCCACAAGAAACACGAGCAAGGATATGGTGCTTATAACTTTATACAGCATTAGACTAAATATGAGCATCATGCCGAAGTAAGGCGCCATCAACGGAATGGGCCCAGTGTCCTTTGCGAACCCCAAGCCCCGAGCACAACAACAGGCGAATTTCAGTGAGACAGCCCGACTTAAATGACTGCATTGTACCATGTCCTGCAGGGACTCCAACCACCTTGCAAGTCCCGCTTTCCAGGCTCCAGTCAGGAAGGTGTGGAGATCCGGCAGCACTCAGTTTGACTTCAATCGTCTTTGCCTCGAGTTGTCATGTCATGACTTGTCCCTGTGAGTCTGGTGTCAGCAACCGCTCGGAACAAAACGATTTTTTCAGTAGATAGTGGTTGGGAGTGCGTAATGCATCCACCAACCACCTTAATCTGGTTTAATCTGCTGCTCCAGCCATTGGGATTGGGTACCAGGCACTCGCTTACACACCACTTCTTTGTATACTTGTAGCGGCCAACCAACTATTGCCATGCTACAGAGACGTCCTAATTATAAACTAAAATCCCCAGAAATTTGCACTGTATCTAAATTCTTCGCGGTGGGCACAATAGTAGCTGTTTCTCATTAAGTGTTCCTTACAGCATCGGAGCTACGTTAGTATGTTGTTGCGTAAACAGTTTACAAGCAGAGCGATGAGTACACGGACGAAGCAGAGCGACTGTGCACAAATACCCAATTCAGTAGGTAGGCCTGAGCTCGGGGGCTGAGAGCCATACAAAAACAAGGGATTAAAGAATCATCTGAAATTCGCATTCAAATTCGTCTAAACAGCAAAGTGCGGTTTGCTCAGTTAGTATACCTGGATTTTGTATTCCGGCCTCAGAAATGCATCGAGAAGGCACCAACAATGCGCGCAATGTAGTTCGTTAACCAGCTTGCTCGAGCATTCACTGACTCCTCTCTACATGTCCCTCGCCCAAATCCTAATCCATCTAGCTATCAATTACTTAACAGTCACTCCGTATCTAATCTACCCAGACAATAGAAAAAAGGAACCCCCATTAAATCCAATGGATCTGTTTCACATTTTTGCCTGCAGCCTCTGTACTCTCTCTCTCTCTCTCAAATTGGGGAACGGGCAGCAAACCTTGTTTTCTTTTTCGATCAATGTGTGTTGTGTATCCGGATCACGCATAGAACATTCCACATCTGGTATTCACCTCAAATCGCTAGGTACGAACCCAGATTTCTTGCAGTTTATTCTTCGAGTTTCTGTTGATCCTGATGCAATGGATCGTGGTATCTGTGTTGTGGGAAATGTGCTTATCAGCAGACTTGAGTAGGCCGTACTGGACTGGATTCCGGTAAACAGTGGTATCTGCGCTGCTCGCTCGAGATAACTCACTGGTTAAGACGCGATCCAATTAAATCCGATCCCGGCATCTCCACCGCTCATGTCAGGGCTTGGGAAACTCAAGTGTCTCAACCCTCGTGCTTCCTTTGGGTAGCATGGCAGCTATACGTAAAAAGGGTGTTACAGCCGAACGATTCTTATTATTATGATGTCCCACTCAAGGTCAGTACATTTTTCGCAGTGAACAATGTTTGTTGTGTGCTCCGACAGAACGCAGCACTGAGGCTGGGAAAGACAGCTTGTCTCGAGGTTGGTCACGGTTGCTACAGTCAATGAAGAATACAAATATTGTGATTCTGACAGGTAATATGAACGCTCAGTTTGGTCGACTGATTCCTGATGAAGCTCATCTTGGCGACTGATCATGGGTTGACGTTCATCGCACGGATAATGCGGAATGACTTCTTCAATTATGTGCTGAACATCATTTAGCTATAGCGAGCACAAAATTTCGGCACAAGCGGTCACACCTTGTGATTTGGAGGTCACCAACTGCAAACTAGACGTGGACTGAGTTGGACCATGAGACACAGCTACCGGTGGAGAGGCTTGAAACAATATTGCCGTTCACTTTTTAGTACGCCACTGGACATTGATAACGGTATTGTGCAGGAGTGCGTATTTGTTGACTTTGGAATATGACTAATGCAGAGCACAAGACAGCTCAGTAGTTTGGACGAACTTACTAACCGGAAGGTCTGTGTTTCGAACCCAGCGTCTTTCTTTAGACTGTTTCTGTCTTGACTTGGGCAACCTGGCAATATCTCAGCCCTCATGATTCCTTTGGGTGGCATGACAGCTAGCTACTGAAAGCCTGTTAGAGCTGAATAATTTTTGTCATTATTTACGGTTGATAAAAAGCCGTTCAGTTCATTTAATGTAAAGGTTTTCCGTGGCATAAAATATCGACATGGTTTTGCTGATAAACCATAGAAATTGATGGGTACGGTGGCAGGAATGGTAATTTGCACGGCCATTGGAGAAAACTGAAAAGAGCCATGCTCGTAGCTTTTGAGACCTGCCGGAGTTCGGCCTTGCATCCTAATGAACACTGGAACTTGTCACGTTCAGTAGCTGTAATTGAAGACGGGAAAACTACACCAGCAACAAACAATTATGATGACGCGCTCAGATCCTTAAAGTGCCGAATAATGGAGAGCTTAAGAACTGATAGAGTACTCTGATGGATCGCAAAAGTCCGTGAAACGGAGAAAACTTCCGTTCCAGCCAATTGGACACTGGTCGAAGGAGGGCGGGTGTTAGTACAATAATTTTCCAAAAGGAGTGGTGTCTCTTTCATTCACAAAAACACCATGTCGAAAGATGAGCTGAACAGTTCGAAAAGCAGTTCAACAACAATTCAGCCGGTCCCCACCAACTCAACCTCTTGAAAGGATCAAATGAACCCGAGTTGAACTTTGGCATTACTATTCCCTCGACAACAGAAGTCCAGGTTACAATTTCATTATTTCAGTACAACGAAACATCTGACCTATACGGTTCGATTCTTGCATCCTACAAAGGTGGTGAGTCCCTCGTGTCTTTTCTATCTGTCTCTGACACCTCGGGGATCGAACTACTGCTTGAGCGTTCGCTCACGGACACTGATTACGCATCATCATCATCATCATCATTGTCAGCTGTAAGAACCGCGTACTGGTCGTACACTGGTTGTAGCCTAAGTAACCTAAGTAATTTTGCTGCATGGTTCCGTATGGCCTTTGAAGCAGTTAAGTGCAAGGTTTAGCTGCAAAAATGAGTGACACTGTGTCGGCGAGCAGATTGATGTGGTAGATAAGTTCGTATACTTTGGTAGCGGACTAGCGAAATTAGGAAAGCCAGGTAACGTTTCCCAACCTCCAACACCTGTGGCGCTGGCGTGATCAGTTTAACTGTCTAAGATAGAGTTCGCGATTTTACGATCCGATCTGTCTTAGTTGGTGGATCAGAGACGGCCGCTGCCGGTGGAATGTTCTCCTTGTTTGACCACCAATGCCTCCGAATTATCGCTCGGGTCTCATGGGAACATTAGGTCTGTAATGCTGACGTACGCCAGACGGTTTCCGGGAAAGTCCACTTTTCTTCGTTGGATCAGTTGGTCACATTCCACAGATTACGCTGGTTAGGCCGTGTACTTCCTATACCAGATGAGCGTCCGCCTCGTAGAGCTCTCTTGACCCAGCGTCGTTTCGGCTGAGGGTCATGGGACGGGACAAATCAATTATTAGCCACCCTGACAGATACGGTTGTCCCACAGCCAATGGTGGCCTTACACCAGATCTGTCGTTCTCACTGCATAGCTCTCGTTTCGTGCCTTCTAGGACACACCACTGTTTTATGTCAATCAACTGATCTGGTCGTCACCGCCAACGCATTGCTGTCATTCCGTATTAGCGTCGTTGAACGGATATGTAGCACCTGGAACCACCGCACTTTATGCACGTTTTGTTAACGAGAAATTGATCTTCGAGGAGAACAGGGTTTTAATAAAGCAAATGGAGCGGTAGATATTATCATCGTCATCCTCAACAGCATAACATCAATGTTCAACACTGATACGTCGCTGCCATACAACCATAGTTTATTTGAAAATTTTATTTTGAAGAAAATAATAAAAGTGATTAAGGAAGGAATTTATTGCTAGCCCAGCCCAACACAATAACCCCGAGTTGATTGATTGATTGATTGATTCCGAGTTCCCTGCACCACCGTACACTCATTCAAGCAAGCTGGATAGAAACAGGAATGCCAGTGACGTCAATTAGCGGCCATATCTTGCAGCGTCTCCATTGGGCGCAGTTGAGATCACGCGATCCTCATCCTGGAAGGAGATTCGCACTAAAGGCACCCAGACTCTTCGTGATCTCTCATACCCTTCTGCCGTCTCATCTTGCGCTACTAGGAACAGCACAGAGAACAGCACCTTCTTCAGTCATTCTTCAATCGAAATCCCAGTTGCACCCGCTTTCTAACTGCCTTGTCACAGATTCTCTGACGACAGCCCGCACGAGCTATGGTTCTGCCGCTGACCGAAGATGCCACGTCTCACAGCCACGCAAAAACACCCCGTACTGTAGCCCGATACACATGTTCCTTGAGATTCACGGATATGCCTTTTTGACGCCGTAGATGTATGCATTCGGCGAACGCGACTCGAAGCTTAAAGATCCGTTCATTGACCTCAGCTACCACACTACAATATAAATTAATATGACTTCCAAGATACGTAAAATGCTCCACAACCTCGAGTACTTCTTTCAAATGTAAGTGGCATACCCAGGAGCCTGACCCTATATTTTTTGGGTCCAGCGCACATGCAAAACGACTTGGTGATTTTTATCAGCTTATCCCAAAACACCTGCGCCTTCTTTCAGAGGACGAGAATGACATTGTCTGGATATTCCAAATAGACAGCAGCTGTCAGCAGCTGTTTGCTTAAAAACCTTCCGGCTTTTGACTGATAACCTTGTCTATCAGGGAACTAAATAGGAATGGGAGCAGTTGAAGGACACCACTTTGCGCACGAAAGCTCTTGGGGAGCTCAATGACTACTCTCACCCGCCATCTGTCTGAGAATACAAATAACTTATTGTCCAAAAACTTCCAGGACATTCCTTGCTATACAAGCGGCTTCAGGATAACGGACCGGTCAACCGAGCCGAACGCCAATGGACTCCCAGAGACACTCAGATTGTGGGTCGACTGTGCATATGGCATTGTTCTAGCTTCTAACATACTGTAAGAATTTGGGCGGCGCAACACCTACCAGGCCGGAATCCCTGCTTGCTGCTCTCAATTCAGCGTTTCACTGGCCGTAATAAGGCGATGAAGGACAATGGACGCAAAGAGTCTTTTACGAATAGGGTCAGCCTGATTTCTCTGTAGTTGCCGCACTACGGGACATTTTTTGAAAATGAACACTCACTGCTTTTACCCAGTTGTCTAAGATAATCCCATTTTCCCAAATGCGGACAACTAGATTAGATAAGCTCTGACTGAGGACTCCACCCTCATCCGGACGGGGAACTTGGTGGTGATTCAGAGAATATATACAGTTACTGACCTCATAGGGTGCAATGAGTTCCAGGTTTACCACTGGGGTTCTAATTCAGATGTAGGATCCAATTGAGTGGCGGTTGGTGGCAACGAGAATTGTTGTTCGAAGTATTGGGCCCAGCGGTCGAGGCGTCTTTTATTCAGTTTGATTGTGCCATTTTGATCCTTGACGGTTTCACTCAGACGTGGTTTTTGGGGGCGGTCGCAGAGATAAACTGAAATAATCTTTGGACATAATTGGATTTCTGGGCCTTCTCCGTTAATTTACCAAACTTCACGGCCGGAGCGCACGCTTACTTTCGTTTGAAGTCCAATAATTTGTGGGGCCCAATTGTGTTCGGGACCGGCAGTACCACTGTTCCATCCGATATGCAATCCTTAAAAAGATTAAAAAATAAAAATAATCGTTCAGCTGTAACATTCTTTCGGTGCCTAGCTGCCATGCCACCTGAAGGAAGCACGAGGAATGGGATACTGCGCTGGGTATTTATTGACTGGTTTTACATCTAGTGTGACTGTCAGAGGAGTGCATAAAAGCATTCGCTCTGCTTGCATTTAATCTTTTTTGCTTCGAAACAAATAATCCGCCGCTGGATTCTCTTCTGTATTTTGGTTCCCAGCCGTTTACACTGTATAATTAGTGTGCATTTTTGTTTATGTCGAGGACAGTACACAGCAAATGGAAGATCAAAGGCTTTCATTCGTTACTGCATTATGGTCAAACCAGCCAGTGGATGTTTTTATTATTGTATACAAAATTCCTTATTTTCCGGACTTGCATCCAACCACGCCTTCGGTGCCATTTGGTTTCCGTTCATGGGGATTTTTTTGTTTCTTCATGCTCGCAGACGTTTTTGCGGAGATGTTCGCTGTCGTACTGCAATCCGTTGGCCAGAAACATAATGAAGTAAACCTTCTTCGTGTACAAGCGGATCTGTTGATGGCGCGCGCTGATTTACTACCATAGTTTTTAAGCTTGAAAGTCTTATGCTAACATCTTGATTTTGAAAAGATACTCAGCACTTAGGAAGTGTCGAACGTGTAGGGGCGAAATCCGCGTTTTCTTAGAATGAATATAAAATCCGACAACATTCTTTCAGATAAGATGGAACCCAATGTTCATATAGTTGACCGTGTCGTTTTAGTCGTAATTCGATTCTTTGCTTTTCAGGCGTCTCAGCATTTTAAAGAATTGACGTTAAAAGATGCGGATGCAGCACTTAGTGCGGAACTTCACCGGCTGGTTGAGGCAATCCCGGATGGAGAGGCTCGCAAACGAGAGGCTTTCCGAAAGCAAATGGATGGATTCCACAAACTTTTCCAACGATATCTGGACTCAACCTCGGACGTATTTGAATGGGAAAAAGTAGAACCCGTTCCCAAAGATTTCGTGAGTTGCACTTAAGCTACACACTTACCTGGAGGTTTGTTGGATCGCCCAGCAACCATTCTCAGCACTTTAGTGGTACGAAGGAATGTCTTTCTTATCGCTGTATTCATAGTAGTGAGTCACGCAGAACTTAGCATCTGCCACCAATTTTATCGGAGCACGTACAAGAGGCTGTTAGTGGTACGAATGTCTTTCTTATCGCTGTATTCATAGTAGTGAGTCACGCAGAACTTAGCATCTGCCACCAATTTTATCGGAGCACGTACGTAC